ACAAGAGCGTGCTATAAAAACAAAAAGAATACGTGCCGGGTCACTAAGGTAGCGGGCGTTTCATTTGAAGATATTTGTTGTTCATTCTGCAGGAATGTGTTCCATCGGCCGTGGGGGCCATCAATCACGAAACTAGATTGGTCGACTGGTCAGACGCCTTAGTACTCCTCTGGGACGGAAGGCAGCCGCGTTAATACGCAGAGTGGAGCGGCGTGCAATTGTCTCTCTACTCCTGTATGTTTCTGTGCCTATGTTTTACCCTTTTTAAGAAATAGGATCAGACGGAGAAAAGAACATCTGAAGACAGAGGAGCAGTGGACTGATCCAGCGTGTCACTGGTACTGCTGGTTTATTTCTCTCCTGTGTCCTATCAGAGATCACAGGGCTTATCATGATGGATCCGTGTGAATTTATCAAGAAAACACGGGAAAAAAGACACAAACACGTCTTTTGCTCAACAAGTTACTGAAAGGTTCTCATTAGAATCCTGTCGATGTACAACAGTAGCATTTACCATTCCCTTCCATTTAAAGGGCAAAAGAATATAATCTGTGTTTTCATTAGTGTGTTGGCTGTTGTTAACTTTAGAAAGATATGGAACAGGTCTTCTCCGCTGAGTTTACTGTGTTGCACCGCCATGTTTCGCTGCCCCTGTTTCTATGGTAGCCTACAACGGACCAACCAAACACTGGCTTTAGACAGGGTCACTCCAGTACCAACCAAACACTGGCTTTAGACAGGGTCATTCCAGTACCAACCAAACACTGGCTTTAGACAGGGTCATTCAAATACCAACCAAACACTGGCTTTAGACAGGGTCACTCCTGTACCAACCAAACACTGGCTTTAGACAGGGTCACTCCTGTACCAACCAAACACTGGCTTTAGACAGGGTCACTCCTGTACCAACCAAACACTGGCTTTAGACAGGGTCACTCCTGTACCAACCAAACACTGGCTTTAGACAGGGTCACTCCTGTACCAACCAAACCCTGGCTTTAGACGGCTTTAGGGCCATTCACACTTTTGTGTGAACCACTCTAGCTCTTCAAAGCGGGACAAGTTTCAGTTGGTTAGATGCTGCCAAATACTAACCCCTTACCTCCAAATTGGCTTCACTTGGCTTAATTTGAGGCTGCTGAAATCAGACTGGTCCCATGCACATTTTTACATCTAGTTGCACCTTTTACACTGCGTACAGTGCAGACGGAGTTGCATGTCAGTCCCACACGCTCGCACTTCATTAAAACAACATATATATTCTATTCCCCACATGTCAGCCACTGTCTGGCTCTGAGGGAAACAACATAAGTCATGTGTGCAAGTAAAACAGCAAGCAGACTACATATGTGTGCGTGTGCACGCCGGCCCCGGGTGTTTGCGGATATGTGCACATGCATTCTTATTTCACTGGACCCTCGCTGACGGCCGAACAAAGTGGTCTGACTTCTTCTGCTCTTGACAAGCACTTTTAACACTATTTCCTGCTCACCTCTCTCTCTCTCTCTGGTTTTCTGTGTTCCTCGTGGAGTTGAAGAGTTGAATCATGGGTCAGCAGTTCTTTGTACACAGACACAGAGAGAGAGAGAGTGAGAGAGAGAGAGGAAGAAAGACGGACTAGATTTCCAGATGGTGAAGTCATCATTTATCTCTGCTAGATACACCCAAACTTATACTTGCACGCACATACGGTACGTGCACACACACACACACACACACACACACACACACACACACACACACACACACACACACACACACACACACACAATGACTGTAATTGCTAGACAACACACTTCTGCCATCTAACCGTACTTTGCCTGCATCCTCTGATGTTCCGGTGAGCCGATATTTAAAACAAATTGAGACGTGTCACAGCTGTAATTGGCTCCAGGGGAAGAGCATGATGGGAAGAAAAGCGCTGAGTGGACACTTCCTTTAAGATGAAGGGGGTGGGGGGGTTGCCTCCACCAGTGGCAGCCGGCCAGCGTCTTTGGCCTCTTGTTGAGCGTCCATTCGTCTTGAATGGTAACGCAGACGTGCTTGCAGTAAAACCCAAACGTTTCCCAAAAGAGAAAATCTCCACATCATGTTCAAGTTGGAGGACGTGTTCCATAAAGTTTCTGTCTTCACTGATGACCAAATGGGTCCAGCTGTTCCACTCTAAGAACTTTGATAATTGTGTTTCCGTCTCAGTCCGGTTTGCTTTTCCCAAATGCGATCTTCTCTTACAGCGTGACAGCCATTTGGGTTGGTTATTAAAAATTGATTTCCTGGCCAAGTGAGAGTAAGTGAGAATGGTGTCTGCGCTGTGTGTGTGTGTATGTGCGCGTGTTTGGTGGTTGCCGTGGCCACGACACAGCTGGCAAAACCGGGAGCATCAGTCAGAGAGAAAGAGAGATAAGATTAAATGGGAGATCAGAAGCAGCGGCATCGCTCAAGGACATCACACACACGCACACACACACACACACACACACACGCACACGAGAAGAACATATCGACATAGGAACTGAAAGACGGAAAGGTCAGAAAACATTAATGTGATCCTGTGTTCAACGGGAACGTGTAACCCGGTCTGGTTCCATCATTTTGTCTTTTAAAAAACTGTTGTCCATGAAAGGCGATTTTTTTTAAAAGACCTTTAGTGAACTATGTTTAGCGGACATGATGGCCTTGATTGACGAGTGTCTCAGCCAATCACAGACAGCCTGCTTGGCTCCTTTTTCTGCCCACATTTGGATGTTTAGGCTGTTTCCAAGAGACAGAGACAGCCAAAATGTCAGCTCCACAAAGTCCCCTGACATCAGAAACGTGACCTCATTGCCTTTCTAATCCGGCGAGCTGATTCGTCTCAAGTTAACTGGACAGGCTGCCCGTGTCACAGTAACCTTAATTAATAAACAGGCCTGTCAATTCCACTCACAACATCTCGAAGCATCGGGCCGACGCGGCTTGTTCCCAGTCCAGTCCTTGTTCATTAGTGAGCGCGCCATGTTTTTATCTACGCATAGAAAATAAAAAAGTAGTTCGCAATTCTCGTTAAAATGGTGACTTGGTACTTTGGGAGAGAAATCAAAATACATTCTGAATAATACTCTTCAATAAAAATCTATTTGCAGAGTGTACGAAGTGTGTTGTTCGTTTGGCCTGTCCCGTTGAAGATGCTTCATCATAGTTGAACCTTCTGGCTTCACTGATGGCTGCAGGGTCACCAACAGGTCTCCAGAGGGCCACTGTGACGTGTTGGAAAAAGGAAGACAGCGCTTCAGAAGGGACAAGGGGAGGAGAGCTGCTCTCCTTAAAGTGATAAAAAAAAAACCCCCAATAATATTCACATTATTATAGACTATGACATCATACCATAATGTTGAGTCATATTGATTTTAAAGAGCGGAACGAATCCACTCAGCCGTGCGAAACTTGACTTTGTTCGGGGGCATCATTTAATTAAAAATATGTTCTTTAAGAGCTCGCGCACTTTAATAAATAAATAATGAAATGTTATTATTGTGTGTCACTGTTAATTTTAAAAGTATGGTACAATCGGTAGGTCTTTTATATTTGATTTTTGCATTTAATTCGCCGTTACCGGAGCGCGCGCTCACACACACACACACACACACACACACACACACACACACACACACACAGAAACGGAGTTTCTGAACATTTATCATCGAAAGTGATAATGAATAATAAACAGTACGAGATGAATGGTTGTACTCGCGCGATGTGTTGATGATGATTATAAAGATAATACAATTAATAACAACGATGAAAAATAAATAAGGGGCTTATAATAATATTTTTCGCGTGGTTTATAATATTGCAAAGTCTTAAAATAAGTCAGTGTAGGTGGTTATCTCTTGAGAACTATTTAATTGACACTCACTGCGGACCTTTAAATTAACCCGAGGTTTACACTGGTCAAGATGTGACCGTTTCTGGCTTTTATTGAGGCTATTCTCCCGCCTTTACTTTTTGCTTGATTTTATTAACAAAAATATGAACATGTAAAAAAAACAACAACGAATGAAACCAAAAAGGACCGAAGGCCTTGAAGCCTGAATCCGCCAGATAACCGTCATCTGCAACTGGCGGTTAACCCGTTAACAAATTACATTACGTTTTTACTCTTGGCACCTAAAAAACGACACCGAGAAAAACAGAACAATACTATACGATCTATGTTGGAGGAAACGTGTTGGTAGATCGAAAAGACTGCAGCAACTTTTCCACGTTTTAAATCGGATTTCTGTCTGAAAACATATCCCTGCGCGTGGCCGGGTCTCGTTTCTCACCTCAGTCCAGGTGGATTGTAGCGTTTAACTAATCATAAGAATATTCCACCGCAGTATCTTAATTCAGTTCATTTCAAATATCGTAAAATTGCGTGTTTGACAGTTCATCATTAAAAACGATAAACTCACGTGGGGCCTTTATGACGCACATACAAAAAAGCTTTATTTAGGAATATTCAACCTCTCGGGGATTAAAAAAGATTACAGCTGTCTGACCTCATGAAACAACAAAGTATTCATCGGATATTTTTTCTTAACACGCTTATAATATTCCTTGGCATGTTTTTCTTTTAACCTACAATATGAAACATTATATATATATATATATATATATATATATATATATATATATATATATATATATATATATATATATATATATATATATATAGAGAGAGAGAGAGAGAGAGAGAGAGAGAGAGAGAGAGATGTATGTATCTATATCTATATATTAGCTGAGAATGAAGAGATTTTTATTTTAGTTTCACAGAAGTGATGTCCGAATTGTGATTTATTTTCCTCCAACTGTGTGAATGTGTGTGTCTTCTGCATACAGTAAATGAATGAAGTGGGGGGGGGTCCTGTCCCTCCTCACCTTCTGACTGACTCCACCTCCAACCCTCCTCACACACACAAACACACACGCACACACACACACCCAAGACGGGGGCTGAGAGCGTGGAGGGAAAAGAGGGCTACTCCTCCTTCACTCCTCCATTCCTCTTTCTCCGTTCAGCAAGGAAAGAATCCTCTCTCTCTCCCCCGTGAGTGGACTGAATCTTTTTGTGTGTGCATCCTAACTGATCACGCTTCATCCGTCTCCTCCTTGCTGTGCTCCTCTTACAAAAGGTGACTCCTTCGACTTTTGTTTTTCGACCATGAACTTCTCTCGGATTTAAGGAGTTTCCAGATAAAGGCGGCGTGAACAGTCGATGGGCGAAACACAGTTCCAGAGGGCCAAAGAGGAGACGCCGTTCTTTCAGTGAGAGACTTTCTCGACCCTCGAGGATTGATTTGGGTTTTGGGGCGAGCCGAACACAGGCGGGCGTGACAGATCCGATTCAAAAATAGCCGACCTCTGTCCCAGTTTTGTCCCCTGGACCACGATGGGTTCAGACGTCCGCGACCTGAACTCCCTGCTGCCCCCGCTCCCGGCGTGCCCCAGCCCCGGATGCCCGGCCTTGCCCGTCAGCACGGCCCCCCAGTGGGCCCCCGTCCTGGACTTCCACACCGCCGCCTCCCCGTACTCCTCCCTGGCCACGCCGCACGCCTCCCTGACCGCCCCGCACGCCTCACTGGGGCCGCACTCCTTCATCAAGCAGGAGCCCAGCTGGGCGGCCGCCGGTGACCCCCACCACCACGAAGCCGACCCCCACTGCGGCCTCAGCGCATTCACCGTCCACTTCTCCGGCCAGTTCACCGGCACCGGGGCCTGCAGGTACGGGGCTTTCGGGGCTCCGCCGCCCCCGAGTCAGCCGCCGTCCGTGGCGGCGCCTCACCACCACCAGCCCCCCGGGAGGATGTTCAGCAACCCGCCGTACCTGACCAACTGCATGGACACGCAGCAGGGGGGACGCAACCAGACAGGTAGGGCCCAAGGGAAGTCTGAGGCCTTTCGGCCTTTATTGAGGGCCGTGTGGATGTGGCCCCTGGTGTTGGGGTCAATCTGGAGGCCATTGGCGTGGTACGGACCATGCTGCCAAATTTGTTGTTGGTCTGTTTTGGCAAGTCAGCCTCATCAGGAGCCGGGGACTCATTCGCCGATAACTTTAGTTCTTTCTTCTCCAATTTGTTCTTCAGAAAGGTCCTGAGGAAAGCGGGTGTCAGATTTACAGCGTGACTCTCAGTATTGTTCACACCAGTCGTCGTAAATCTAAAGGCCGTTACAGCTGATCCTCTGATGAGCTTAAGTAAACGCCTTACCAATCCACATTAAAGGGCACGGGACAGCGGGGCGGGGGGTGGGCACACAGAAAGAAAGACCAGCTGATAGAGTCAGTCGAGGGAGGACCAGCACAGAACTCCAAAATGACTTCTGTAGGAGGTGAAAGCAAACCGTTGTTTTAAATCGCACCGTTTGGCCAATAATAGATTATGAAGCTTTTAAAAAAAGCAGAAATGGTTGTTAATTAAATATATTTTCAAGCAATGAAAAACGGACCAGCGTTTTAAAATAATGGAAATAAAGATGCCAACATAACACATCCAAAAATAATATTCCATCCATCCATCCATTGTCAAACCGCTTATCCTGCACACAGGGTCGCGAGGGGGCTGGAGTCCATCCCAGCCAACTTCGGGCGATACCAAAAATAATATTACAATTTAAATTCTATGATATTATAATACTGTACAATTAAGAAAAAGACAATATCCAATTTACTTGCTTAAACACGTTGGCCCTGAAATGTTCCTACGTGCGCGCCTACATGCGCTGCTTAAAACGAGGTTAATCTTGTAAGAAAACATTAGGGAATGTTCAAATATTCAAGAGAACTGTTTTAAGAAGGAATTTAATTTCTAGAGCGGTTGGCAAATGAGGCCCTAAATCTTAAAATATGTCACAAGTATCGTCTTGTGCAGTTTTTGGCTTCCTTTCCTCCACAAAACTCAGTATTTGCACTCGCACCTGTAACATGAAGCGATGTCCTGGTTCAAACTGGCCGAGGTGTTGCCTTCGACGACCGGAGGCCTGACTTCACCCTTTCCTTCAGCACCGCGTCAATAAGTCCATGATGAAAACGGAGATGAATATTGAATAATAAGTAGACCCCTGCATGCTTTTGTAGACAGCAGATGCGGCTGAGACATTCACAGGAAACGAAGGTGTCTTTTAGTTAAGTCTTAACGTCCGAACAGAAGATACGCTGCGTGCTCTCAGTGTGGATGGACCGTTAATACCTCAGATAACAAAGATCGACCATAAACACACACACTCTTTGACTCCGTGATGATTCTTCTTTTGTTGTGCAACTTAAAAACAATCGAATTATTCCCAGCTCTGGATTTGATGTAAAACTCTTCGTAAATGATGAGGTGAGAAAGATCATTCTTAATGAACAGAAAACAGCTACATTTTGTTGGAGCTGCTGAACAACAAACCACAGGCTGATTAAAGCTCAGATACAACAAAACAGCTTTGAGAGGTGATTTTTAGTTTACTGTTAATTTAAAAACATACTTTAAATGAACTGTGTGCATACATTTAATGCATGACTGAGAGGAGGTTTGACACAGCAGAGAATATGGACATATATTTCTACCCGGATGTTATTAAAAGGAAAAAAAGAAAAGGTTATTGATGCATTGCTGAGTTCATCCTAATTTATCAGTTTGGTCTTTCTCACATTTTAGACTGTTCCACATTTGCACAACATAGTAGTGTTTTCTAAGAAAGAGATCTCCATATTTTTAAAAAGGATCCATCAAGTATCAGTTACTGAACACATTCAATAGATGAAGAAACATAGACGCTGTTTTACAAAATAAACTCTCATTACATAGTTTTTCAATTTTTTGTTTTTGAATTGCGTTGTGATAATTGAGTTTGAGCAAATGCTTTAATATATTATCAGAGTCTGCAGCATCACATTGCACTCCAAAGTCATCGGATTTCACTTGTGCTTAAAAGGCATTGTTAAACAGCATGTTAGGATCACAGTTAAATTTAACTACAGTTAACTACAGTTAAAATTAATCCCAACAATGGTGTTTTTGTTTGTATTTACTTCTTCTTGCTTGTTCACACAAGTCCCTGTTCTTTTCTAGTGCAGGCTTAATAAATATGTTGGTGCTTTCCCAACAGACGAATTAATAACAACATGCTTATCAAGCAGATAATTCGCAATAACATTACAATCAAAGAGCCGAGCCGACCTCTAACCTGTTTTATCTGCTGCCCGCTGTGGCTGGACGAGCAGAGACAAACAGACTCACAGCGGGACGCGGGCCCCTGATAGCGGGACAGGGTCACGCAGGCTGTCGCTGTGTAAGGGCCCTGCAGGAGGGAATTCATTTTCATATCGGAGCTGGATATTTCTAAAAGCGTTCACATGTCGCTGTGGGTTTTGCTTAGAGACGCCCAACGGGGGCCATCGAAACACTTGTCTTGGTAATTTATTGGAGAAGGAATAATTAGTTTTAGGGATAAAACTGTTTTTACAGGTCTTGTGGTTCTTTATCAGTAAGCTGTTACAGTAGCAAAGACATGATAACCTGCTGAAGACAATGAAATGCTCTTAAAAGCAAAACTGCCGGTCTGTAGAGCTTCACAAGAACCAGTAAAGAGATTTCTCATAAATACGGTGTCAGGACAAAAGTAACATTTTATTTCAATTTGTGAAAAAAAATAGAAACGCTTTAGTGGTGTTTCCAGACTTTGGGTTTTCCAAATTACATATTGACCTCATCGCTTGTCGCCTCAGTGTTGGACTTCAAGGCAACTATGGTATCACCTACACACACACACACACACACACACACACACACACACACACACACACACACACACACACACACACACACACACACATACACGCACAGAGGAGTCAGACAGGGGTGAGTGGAAGATAAATAGAGATGTTTAATGAGGTTTTTAGCCCACCACCCTTCCCCCCCATCTCACCCAATGATCCACAGGGGAAAGTGAGTGCTGCATTTTAATTAATGAGGCATGTATGTGAGAGTGAGAGATAGCGATTGTGTGTGTGGGTGTGTGTGTGTGTGTGTGTGCGTGCGTGTCCGGGCATGTGGGTGATTGATGGGTGTGAATTGTGCCCTGTAGGTCAGTCTATGTCCTGAGTCGGGTCTGGGTCCGGGATGTCAGCCATGTTGTGTGTGTGTGTGTGTGTGTGTGTGTGTGTGTGCCCTAGTGAGATGATACAACCAAATTAAAGAAAAGAAGTCCTTTCATCTCTCTGATCTGTCACTTTTCTTTTTGCGACAAAGTTTACATTTTTTAAAATAAAATTTCCACCATGAGAAAATAGACAAACAATTAATGATATAGGATCCAGGTAATTTAGAACCACGTTTATCTGATTAATTCATTTGGTGAAATTAATCTCTCAAGATGGCTCAAAAAAACAATAAGAATTAACTTCATAATCACTTTACTGCACTTTTTTAAACTATATTGTTGCAAATGTATTTTTAGTTTTCTGTGGAGAAGCAATCAAACTCTATTGTGACTCTTTGAACGGATCTAAATCTCCTGCTCCACTTTGTACACTGTAAAACAGCCTGGACTTCTTACTACGCATTTGTTATAATAAACAGGGAATAAGACAAACAAAAAAACAAATCCTAACAATAATAAAAAGTATCACGATAACAGACACAAATGGCATCAAAATCATCTTGAAGTAGATTTTTTAAAATTCAGGTGGAAAGGAAAAAAACCCACCAGCACCGCGTAGCTTTAGCTAAATTAAAATGTCCTTCGAGGATTGGCTGCAGTGTTAATGAGGTAATGTGTGACCCCTGATAGACTTGGTCTGACTCTGGCTTTGGTTCCCTTTGTCGCAGGCTACAGCGCGGTCGCATTCGATGGAGCCGGTAATTACGGTCACACTCCTACTCACCACAGCTCGCAGTTCTCCAACCATTCCTTCAAGCACGAAGACGCTTTAACCCAGCAAAGTACGATGGGTAAGTGTATTGAACTCTTCTCTCCTCTGAACTACAGTGGCAGTTACTTAGAAAAGTTTCACATATACATATATGTATGTATGTATGTATGTATATATATATATATTAGTATTCTGAAGAAAGAATTGCCATAGCATCACCGTGGAGACATATGTCCCAACAATTTGGATTCTTTTACCCCATTCTTTCGATCCATTCGTTCTATCCATTTGAATTTGTGTGTTTAAAAAAAATATTACGTGTTTATTATATGCGTTGAAAGGTTGATTCCTGAAAAAAAACAAAAAAACTTCACACTGCACACGTCACTTACACTTTTCTGTTCGCTGGTGCACTTTATTTTTATTTTTTAACCATTTTTTACTTTTTAATTTGAACTTTTATTCCTTTATTTTTTAACTAACCCATAGCATTATATTTTATTTTATTCCTTGTGCACTGTTGTCTTGTCGTCCATTGTCGTACTGTCTGCTGTTATGCACCAACCGCCAAGTCAAATTCCTTGTGCGTCTGACATATTATGGCAATAAATATTTCCTGAACTACCATTAAAAACATTACAACCAACTAATTTACGATTTTATACAATTAATATACAATACAATTAAATATGGGATTTATATGTGAATTCCACAAGCTCGCCACTGATGCTTCTGCTTTGCGAGGCTAGTTATCTTTTTGTTGTTCATCGTGATTGGACTTGGCCACTGCCTCATCTAGGGACACGGAATAGCGAAAAAAAGGCACATTTTTAAATACAAATAATTTCTATTTGAAGAAAAAAACACAAGAACACACAAAAATTCGCATTTAGCTTGGGATTTAGTCGCTAGCTAGCCCACACTATCTCCACAGTTAAGTGCGACGTCCGACCTAATGTGCTTTTTGTGGTCATTGCAATTTAAAGTAATACAACAGATGTCAGTCATTGTCGGCCATTTTTTTCTAAACCCAAAATGTAGCTTGGCTGCTGCATGGTGCCTTTGTACATCAGTTATCTTGTCAGATTTGAAAAATACTTTTTACAGCTTTACTTTCAGGAGTCACTTTTCTTCAACTTTAACTAACAATCACCACGCATCAGAGTCGCTCCCAATAGCAACACACTTCTATGTGAAGCCAGTGTGGGAGTGCACAGCTGCGTCTGCATGGCGGCCCCGTGGCCCTCACCTAGGGAGTGCCTTGTCCCTTGTCCTAACGTCTCCGCCGTGACCTCTGCCGTCGGAGGTATAAATCAGCCACATCCTGACTCGCGTAAAAAGTCCCTCGTCTCCTCCTCTCGTCCCCTCTTTCATCCGCCCACCTCCCCCTTTGAATCGCTCCTCGGCAACATGTTATTGGTAAATATTGCAATGTTTGCCGTAGATTGCCGCACAATTTTTACGGCAAAGATAGCTGTGAGAATCTGAGTTGCGTGGGGGGGGGTTTGGAATGCAACGAAATGTCGAGGGAGCCGTTCATTCTGCTTTCGGGAGTCAAGTCTTTATTTGTGGAAGAAAGCGGCCAAAACGATAGCAGGAGGTGGGCAAGAGTTTTATGAGATATTATGCAGAGTACATCCTGTCCCGAGCGCTGTGTGTATCGGTGTGCGTTGGCTTTGGTATCGGTGGCGTGCGTGTTACCATGTTTGACGTGGTGTCCGTGTGTCGCAGCGGAGCAGCAGTACCCCGTACCTCCACCTGTCTACGGATGCCACACGCCCTCTGACACCTGCACAGGCAGCCAGGCGCTGCTGCTGAGAAACCCATACAACAGGTAACACGCGCACACACACACACACACACCTTTCACACAGTCTGCTGAAAAAATAAAATCGGATCTATTTTCATCACACACAAACAATTCTGGAATAGTTTCAGAGACCATTGTTGATTGTTCCCACGTCAACCGCTCTCGAACAGGATGTTCACCTTCAGCTCAGGTCTGTCTGCCACGGCCGCTTCCCCTCCTGCTTCAGCGCTCCTTCCTCTGCTCGCCCTGCCGTGAGAAACGCGGATCCCTTGAATCCTAATTTTAGACTCCGTCAACATGGCGCGTGGTAATTGCCAGGTAGACAACGACAAATGTCACGGCGCCCACTGAAGGAAGCGAACGGCAAAGTATCAGGGAGTTTGTGGAGGAAAGTGGGTTGATTTGCCGTTCGGAAAATATTTACAAGGTGTCACGAGTCAAGTTGTTCCGCAGCAGTCGTCATTATTTAACTCTTTTCCTTCAACACCGGTCTTTGGTTTGACATGGTGAGTGCTGAGTTTTGTCTACTGGCACACATGAGGAGCCAGAAAGGTTTTTCTTCCAAAAAGATTTGAGTCTGTGTGGGTTGGTTTCATATAGACGTTCTGACCATTTGCACACCGAACAAAAACTACAGTACGTCCCCAAAGCGTCTCTGGCTATAACAAATTCAGATTGATAAACTGAACATCGACATCGATTATGACGTTTTAGTCACACATTTACTTGAACTGTAAAGAAAACTGAGGCAATCCGTAAGAAGTGGAAGTGACCAGTATGTGCTGCTATGCGCTGATTCCACAGATGGGTCGCTCTGTTTGACCTTGATGGCAAAATGAAGAACCGATTCTTTATGTGTCTTTATGCGCTGCTGCTGTGGCGGGTACCGTTTGTCAAAGCAGATATTTGGACTTCTCATAAAAAAACAACACTGTCCACCCCTGAACTGCATTCTCATTTACGTTATTCTTGAGAGGCGTAATTTTCCCCCCGATTACAGAACGATGGCTTTGATCTTCAAGCGCCCCTTTAAGCCGTGGCGGTGTTCCGCTGAGGCGGCATGAACGCCACTAGGACTCTGAGACGGAGGAAGCTAAACAGTCATTGCATTTTTTGACTCTTCTCCCAACAGACTAACAGTGAAAATGAGGTCTGTTGACACACACAACAAAAAAGAGCCAAATTCTCACACAGAGATCTAAATTAATAGATCATTCATAGAGCCGTGGCCCCCACAGCCACACCCAGCCTCAATGTTTCCTCCCTCCTCTTCCCGCACAGCAGAACCAAAAGTGCATTCTGTAAAACAATATTAACAATGTTGTTACGTAATGTGAACATATTAGCAATAATTCTAGAACCACTAAAACCACTGCACTCAAAACTAGACCAGGCGAAACGGCAGATATACAGAAATCTCCCTTTCAGAAACATACGCACACAGGTTTTAATAAGCCTCTTCCACATAACAACAAACAAACACATTTGTTTGTTGTTATGTGAAACATAGCACAGACAGTGTTTTCCAACAATGGCAGAAGAGAAGGAAAATCTGTGTTGGGTTTCTGTGTGTGTGTGTGTCTGTGTGTGTGTGTCTTCATAATTGATATCGGCTCAGCACACACACACACACACACACACACACACACACACACAGGCCTAGTGGGGATGGCAAGACTCATATGAGTTGAGTCAGTTTTACTAATCTTGCAGCCTGGTACCAACAGGACTGTATTTACTCTGCAGGCCGTCTGCTCGGCACGCTGGAACAACGTGAAACGAAAACGTGTTGAGGTGTTATTACAGTAATAAACACACACGCACGCACACACACACACACACACACACACAAGTTTCAAATTTGTGCTTTTGAGTAAAATACCTCAACAACTATTGGATAGTCACCAAAACAATTTGGTAGTGAAATCTTGCCCCTTATACGAATTTGAATACCAACCCTCTCAGTGGGACCTTTCAATTTTTGCCTTTGTACTATTTGATTAGGAAATACTAGCATTCTAAGTTGATATAGTGCACACCGTAAACAATGTACCTGCTTAACATTCTAGCTTTGTCACTGTGAGCATGTCAGCATGCTGACGTTAGCAGAGTCCCTTTAACTCTCTTGTTTTGGGACAATTGTTGTTTTACTGCCAAACTAATTTGCAGTGGCGATATTATTGCGGCATCTAGTAATAATGCTATTAGTGACATTTGTCTTATACGTTGTTTGTTGACAAATACATAATTTTTAAGCAAATACATAATTCAAAATAAAGTAAAATGCGCTGGAGCGTTTAACTGTACTGTTTTTTCCCCCAGGGGAGACCTACTGTCACACACTTGGGCCGTTTGAAGCGATGTGTTTCCGCCAGGCAGCGGTAGAGAAGGAAATCAGATGCATAAGTATTTGAAAATGTCATGGATCATTTCTTCTAAATCAGCCTCCAATCCAACAGTGCTTCAGCAGAAGCACCGGGTCTGCTGGCTGCGTTCCCCATGTTGTACTGTAGAATAACCGCAGCGTAATGAGCAGGGTACCAGGCACCACATCTGCCCCCCGCCCGCACCGCTTCGAGCCAGCAGGTAGTGTGATAGGGGGATGAGAGCCATAAATCCACTGTGTGTGTGTGTGTGTGTGTGTGTGTGTGTGTGTGTGTGTGTTTGCAACACTTATTTTATCATATGGCAGCTCTGAATAATGATTGTGGAGTCTGCTGAATTTAATGAAAAGTGGCTGGTATGGGAGAATTTAGCTTTCTTAGAGTCTGAGGCACATTCTTTACCCTCAGCTCCACCTGCAACTTTGTGTGAGTGTGTGTGTGTGTGTGTGTGTACATGTTTGAGCTGGCATTTTTTCCTTGAGTGCTTCTTTTACAAGGTCAACAAAAAGCCATAAATGGACACACACTCTCTATCCTGCTGAATCGGTCCACCTCATGGGCTTTTCTTCCACGTTTTGTCCCTCCGCAGCAGAAAAAGGGTCATGAAAATGACCTCTCAGTTGGAGTGTGTGGCAAGGAAAGCTGTCAATACACTGACGTGCACCAGGAAGAGGTAGGAACATCGCTTTCTTTGAAGAGCCCATCTTGCGATGTTCATTACAGTAACTCCACTGGGTTACAAGTGAACTTCAGCTACCTTTTTTCCAAAAAATTGGATATAACATTGGATTAAAAGCACACACACACATTAACAATCAGTTGGAATTATCGCAGCGATATCAGATTACCTGATCACAGAGCTGAAAGCGAGAAGCATTCAGTAGAACGTTGTACTTCATGTCATTTTGACCTGCATGGCCGGTCAGCATCTACAGCCAACACCCATTCGTCATGGCGAGCAGATGAATGCGTGTCTGCAGGGGACGTGTGCAGAGGGCCGGTATAGCGAGCAGGAAGGTTGTTTTGCATCCAGATATCAGAACATTGCTGGTCCTTCTGATCATATTGAGATGAGTGGATACCAATTAGATTTTGATAGCTTTCCAGCCCTAAAGATGTTTTCTTATTCATGAGCGCTGAGAAGGTCTTAAGAACATTTTGGTGGCCTTGGTCTATGGCAAGGACCTCTCTCTGTAACTCTCTGTACTCTCTGGGGAGGTGTGAGGGAGTAGCAAGGAGTGAGTGGGAGACAGCGAGATAAAGAGGGATGGGGCGAGGAGGAGGAGATGAGGAAGAGGAAGTGTAACGTTAGGGGAGTTGAGCTTTGAGTGGAGGGAGAGGTTTTTTCTTACCAATTAAAAAAGTTAAACAGTTGTGAACTGTGGGGGAAATATATGTTACATTATATTCTCATGTATACCTTAATTAATAGTTTTCCTTGTGTAAGTTGTGTTTGTTTAGCCATCATGTGCTCGGTCGTGAAATTGAGCAAATGGTTTTTGGGGAGACGGATGGGCTCAATGAACCCAGGACCTAAAGATACAGTTGCTGGAAACCAGTGACAGTTTTCCTAAACCTGATGACGTAGTTTTGTTGCCAAAACCTAATTTAGTTTTTTGGAACCTAACGCTGCCCCAAAAAACAAAGTCACTCCGAGTATATATAGTAGAAAATATGGATGCTTGGTTGTATTACCTGTGCATCACCTTGCCTACTCCACTCCTCCGCTCTCTTCACTGGCTACCGGTGGCTGCCCGCATCCAGTTCAAAACATTGGTGCTCATGTACCATGCTGTGAATGGATCTGGTCCAGCTTACATCCAGGACATGGTCAAACCCTACATCCCAACCCGCACTCTCCGCTCTGCATCTGCAAAACTACTCGTCCCTCCCTCACTGAGAGCAAAACACTCGACTAGGTCTCCACTCTTTGCTGTCCTTGCGCCAAAATGGTGGAACGAGCTCTCTGAAGACACCAGGACCGCAGAGAGCCTTCACATCTTCCGCCGCAAACTAAAGACACACCTCTTCAGACTCTACCTCGACTAAAGACTAACAAATTGTAGCACTTAAATTGTACTTGTAACGTCACTCATCTATAGCAAATTGTAAATTGGCTTATTTGAGGAAATTGCACTTTCTTGTTTCTTGTTCTCCTGAGTTTGTACCCTATGGTTGAATGCACTTATTGTACGTCGCTTTGGATAAAAGCGTCAGCTAAATGACATGTAATGTAATGTAATGTAATGTAATGTCATTATGATGCACCTGGCTGGAGATGAAGGTGTTCGAGCGTGTCCCGAATAAGGCGTCCTAACTAGTACATGACCTGCTTTCGCAACATGGCCGATTGATTGAATGAGTTAAATGAGCATTGTGATTTAAACTGGTCTGCCACCGACGTCTCGGCTCCCGCCCGTGGAAGGTAGCGAGGGAAACAAAGAGCACCTTATGCATTCCCACCGTGGCAGCACGGGATGCAAAACTCCTCCTCGTTTCCTCAGACAGACTGAAATAAAACACATTTCATAGACAAGAGCTTTCTGTTTCTCTGTGTGTTATCGTAAGGAGATAACAGAGGCAACACTGCAGCTGTGGCCCACAGAGCCGGGTTTGTTCTGCTCTTGGTCAGAGGGAAATATTAAAAGATGTTTTCCTCACATGTCACTCCATGTTTGTCTGAGAGATGATGGGGAAATAATTAGTCCAATTGGTCAATCATATGGGCACCAGGGAACTTTTTTTTATGGTTGTTAGAAGAAGTTCATTTTAAATTATTCAGTGAGTTTTAACTGCTTTGTTACTAGGGTTTTGGACTGTTAATGAAAAGATCAGCCTCACCAATGTCAATAAGCAAAGATGCAAGTGGATTCATGTGCTAGATGATACACACTTCCATGACTGAACATTTCTTAATGGGAATATGGGAAGTGAACACAGCTTTGACTATTTCCAAATGATCAATGTGATTGCAGGAAATAAATGTGATGACTGGTTTCCGTTTGCACGATATGATGATACGCACTGGATCCTGATTTAGGGACTTGTATGTTGTGTGTGACTCTGCACAGGATTAGTCCTAAAATCCTTTAGTGCATCCAAATTTAGAGCAGAAGATTTTTTTAATTGAATAAGAACCACATGTCGATTCTTTTCATACTTTTAAAATGAACTGTTTTCTCTTTCTGTGCTGGCAGCCACGCGACGGGCTACGACAGCGACCCCAACACCCCCCTGCTGTACAGCTGCAGCACGCAGTACCGCATACACACACACGGAGTCTTCAGGGGCCTACAGGTACGACTCCAACAACCGTGAGAGAGAACATGATTTCTTTCAAATGTTTCTGAATCAGCGAAATGAAGGAGAGCCTGATGGTAGTGAGCCTGGTGCAATGAGCCCCGCCCATGTGAAGAGGAAATATAAAAACACACACACACAATTTCCTCCACGCACACACGCGTAGCACACACAGAGTTTTTCTAAAAGGGAGCTCCAAAGGCCAAAAGGAATCTTTTTCCACAAATCCATTAGCAGTGGAGGAACACACACACCTAAACACACACAGGCACACGCAGGCTGGATAAGGATTCAGTTTCCATACAGGGATCAGCATGTTAATAAATCATTAGATTTTAATTATTGTCTGTCAGCAGCTCTAAAGGACAGGAGGCAGAGATTCTCCAGACCTGCTCTTAGTCCGCAGCAGGACTTTTACTGGGAGCTTTCATTCTCTTTTTTGGGGGGGGGGGGGGTGCTGTTTTATCATTCGTTTTATCATCATTCGCTCCTGTTCATTGTTTTTTTTCCCTCTTCTGCTCATAGAAAAGGGTTGGATCCAAATAGGAAACCCGACACAGACAGAGAAGAACAAACAAGCTCTTTTGGCTTTTGGGAGTCTAATTTAGGGTCTGAGTGGACAGATCGAGTAGCAAAGTGATGCTTGCTCTGCTTATTATTTCTACTTCATATTCCTTTTATACTTCCCATTTAAATTAGTATGTTTTACTGTCGGCCAATCACATGGCCCCGGACGCTATAAATCAAATGCGTGCATTAGTAGATTTACTATAGGCAGATGAGCAGATGTAGAAATCAGCCATGGTGGTATTCCTGTTATTCTTCTCCCGCTGCGGAAGCACGGCCCGTTTAAAAGGCCGTGACTAACAGCTCCCTCTGGGCTGGGGGTCATTTTACTGCTAGTTTCCATCTAATGAATATATGATCATTTTATTATAATGATCCCCGTGAGCCAGACAGATCATGTGCACTTATTTACCCACGACGCGGATTTAACTGCCTGTTCTCTAAATTACATTTCACTGGTTTAGTCACCGGTGTGGCTCTGTTCATTTTTGCCTTGAGTGATTTGGCTTTAAATTATTCGGTGTGTGTTTGTGTGTTTGTGTGCAGGATGTGCGGCGGGTGCCCAGCATCGCCCCGACCATAGTGCGCTCAGAGAGCAGCGAGAAGCGTCCGTTCATGTGCGCCTACCCAGGATGCAACAAGCGCTACTTCAAGCTGTCTCACCTGCAGATGCACAGTCGCAAACACACAGGTGAGGTCAAGAGGCCGCAGGAGCTGTCACGTTCTACCCGTTACGTAACTATAATGACAGCTGTCATTGTTTGTGCCGGTGATGCCATCAAGGAACTAAGGGGTCTCTTTGGTGATGTTTCCACCTTATCTGTACTACTTGCAGCTCGCTACGTTCACAAATGGTTTGCTACCTCAGCGGTGTTGTGATTCTAAAGAGGTTCCTGAGTGAGAGAGAGATACTCTGTGAAGGTCGGAGTATTTCTTTCCCTTGCTTAATTTAACAGATGCCAGCTAACACCAATAGTTTTCTAAAGGGACTCTGGGGCTCGGAAACGCGCCCACTATTGTCCACGGAGGCCACCAAGATCAACACCGTACGAAAGTTGCTCTTAGTAGCTTTAAAGTATCTGACTTTTAAACCAGACTTCCTTTTGGGATCATTTTACATTTAATTGTATTTAATGGTGTCATCTGAATTTGTCTGTCCAG